AAACTGACACTGATTTTTAGTTTTTAAAGGATCCCTGATTAGTTGTAACATTAGACTTTATTTGATAAACATTTATTTGAACTGTAAAATAAAGGCTGTTAAAAGCCGATCATCAGATATTGTCCAAGATTAACCTTCAGGGTGGATATAGCTCGCTAGCAGCCTCGCACCGAGGACCTATCCACGTCATCATTTACCCAGAATGCTTTGTGTGCAAATAAAATGGCTCCGTCCGTGTTACAATATATTTTTAAAAATTTACAAAACTAAACAGCCTACAGTATTTTTACAGTCTTTATTTTACAGTTAAAATAAATGTTTATTAAATAAAGTCTAAAGTTACAACTAATCATGGATCCTTTAAACAGGAGGTCCTGTTGGAACAGCCGTACCTGGTGAGGATCATGAGCGCCTGTCCATCATCAGTGCAGGCAGACAGCGGGGCAGTGTTGGCCTCCAGCACAGCCAGGCCCAGCTGGAAGATGGCTTTGATTCCCTGGAAGAAGAAGCAGTCCACCACACAGACGGCGCTGAGGAAGGGCAGCACGCTGAGGAAGATGGTGAGGAACCAGGACAGAGAGACGGACGACAGCGTGGACAGGTCCGGGACCTGCTCGGCCAGCTCAGGCAGACGTTCTCGGATCAGCTCCTCGAACACAGACTGGTCCACCTGAGCTCCTGAGACCACAGAGTCAACGGGACAAGTTAGTGTGTTGACATGAAGGTGACACAGGAGCGTCTCGTGCACACAAGTCTGTTGAAAGCTTTTTCTAAAGGAATCCCAACTTTAAAAAACTTTTTCTTATTTGAACCACTAGATGGCAGCAGAAGCTGGACTTCCACCTTCGTTCTGTAAGCTATAAAACCATTTAGTTTATTATTTTAACAAAACACAAACCACACCTCAACACTACAGACTCACTATTAACAGTGATGCACTCTCCTCACAGCAGACAGATTACAGATTATTATTAAAATGGGCTTGTTTCGTCTCTTGGATATTCAGAGAAACTAACAGAAGACAAAATAAGCACTTGGGGGGAATCTGTGCTTTATCTGCAGAGTTAATGAAAACAATCAGGTCTGTTTTAAGATGAAGAGGTGGTCTAACAGGTGGGCATTAAAAGGAAGAGGAAATTATCTCAGAGGCACCTGGTGTGTCCAAAATAAACAGCCTCAGAAACACAGGAAACAGGTTCGGAGTTAAAAATAAATCTGAGTAGCCTACTTCAGAGTTGATAAACAGAAACTTATCAGTAACTGTGTTTTCTAAGACAAGGAAACAACTAAAGTGCAAAAAAGTCACTTTTTTTCTTGCTCTTCCTCTCACTGGGCTGCCACCTCACCGTGGAGGAGTCCCACTGATCCTACGAGCTGCAGCATGTTGTCAGGGGCTTCATGCAGAGTCGTAAAGTAACCAAGTACAAATACTTTCTTACTGTACTTAAGTAGAAATTTTGGTTATCTCTACTTGAGTAATTATTTTTCAGTGTACTTTTTACTTTTACTCATTACATTTGTACACAGTTATCTGTACTTTCTACTCACTACATTTTTAAAAAGGTAAGAAGTAGAAAGT